TGAAGAGTCAATGAGTCGATGCAATCAGCTGTTTTTCCTTGGATGGAGGATTTTGAATCAATCTGACTGCCTGATCTGGTGAACTGTAAAGTGTTTTGAGGTGACGTGTTGTGAATCGACACTATAGAAATAAACTGAATTGAATTGGTCACAACGAAAATTATTATTTTTATTTTTTACTGACGCTTAAAACATTAAATCACCGCAAACATAATAGTTTTAGGTATAAATAATGATCCATTGATCATTCCTTGCTGACCAGACTTTTCATTTACATGCAGCTCAGCGGAAAAGTTTCAAAGTTTCAACTTTGACGATTCTATGATGATAGCCTCTATTTTCATGATCAAATTTTAGACTTTTTCGATGTCGACTTGCTCTCCTCCATTTGTTTATTGGTTTCCTTAAATATTTAGTTTTAGATTCCTATGAGTCGTCTTTAAATCTCTTAGCCATCTCACAATCTGACTTGGTTCATAAAATATTGAATTACCTGGAATCTTTTTCTGTTTAAAAAAAGATCTAAATGGCTTAGTCAGGGAAAATTTAAATCTAAATTCTGTTCATTTATATTTTTTTGTACAAAAGGTTGGCCTGTTATAAGATATCTGTAAAGACTATAATGAATTTTGAAATTCAGTCCAACAAATGCTCTCAAAACAAGTCAGAAAAAATATCCTTGGCAGCTAGATCAAAACCTTACTTTCAACTTTATGATAAGAAACAAGTAGCTCTCCACCTGCAAGAGGTAAAGCCTTTAACCTGCTTTGATTTAACCTCCACACTCTCAGCCATCCCCTTCGGCTAAATTGTGCTGTTTGGGATTTGTAAGCAAGGCTGTTCCAGCTTTTCTTCCGTCTCCCTATTACAGAGCAGAAGAAAAAAATCAGCAGGATGAGAGACGTGAGGGATTGGGGGGTAAAATGGTGCAGAGTTGGACAGCAGATGGCTCGTCTCCAAGCTTTCAGGATGCCGCTCTCCTTTGCCAAACAGAAACAGGTGCTGCAGAAAGAAGGAAGTGAGCTGTGAGGCCCAGCGGCAGCAGGAGACCCCCTGACCAGCTGGCGAGGAAACGTGGAAACACTTTGCAGTAGGAAAAAAGAGGGAAAAACGTTTCCGTAAAACTGACTGACAGCAGGTTTTCATCAAATCAAGCTTTTCTTTACTGACACCGGACAGCTTAATCATTTGAAATGTTCTTTAAATCAAAGTCTGATGATTGAATCCGACTCTGAAGAGTTTTTTTCCAAGCTAAAAAGTTAAAATATTAATTTGATGTTAAATTCTTTCCCCTCTTTGAAAAGGAATATTTCTCTGTTTTTCGTTTTGAAAAAAAAGTTTTATTCCTATTTTTATATTTTGTGACAAGTCGTTCATCTCTGCTCTCTTATTGGAAGCTTTCTGTATTGATTAGTAATTACTTCCAAGTTATTTTTTTATTTTTATCCTGTCTGGCGATGTGGCAATGAGAATAATTGTCTTTGTGCCAAAAGAGAGCCCAACAGATTTTCCTTTCATCAGTGGAGCAGTGCGGCTATCTGCATAGTGTTCCGCTTAATTTATGAATTTAAATAGCTTTATTATGATTATGCAGGGAGTTATACAGATTATACGGACACTGCAATGTAAGTAGAGCAGGAAAGGAAAAACAGGAAAAAGGAGAAAAGATGAAAGAAAGAAGAGATGAAAGGGAGACAATGATAAAACATCTTCTGTCTGCTTCACCACCTGCAAAGAGATGTAAAAATAAAAGCACAACCAACGGATATAGTATAAGAGATACAATAAAGTGGCACCTTATTACAATCGCTGAAGTATCATTAGTATTATTTAATCTGACATGTACTCTGTAGTAGCTGAAGATAAGAATGTGCTTCCTGTATGGAAGTGAATCTCTAAATAACCTGGAGCCAAGCACCTGTAGTTGTTTGTGAAAGTGCACTTGAGCATGTAAAGTTATCCAAAGGAAAAATGCTCAATAGTGGNGTGCCAAAAGAGAGCCCAACAGATTTTCCTTTCATCAGTGGAGCAGTACGGCTATCTGCATAGTGTTCCGCTTCATTTATGCATTTAAATAGCTTTATTATGATTATGCAGGGATGTTTTACAGATTATATGGACACTGCAATGTAAGTAGAACAGGAAAGGAAAAACAGGAAAAAGGAGAAAAGATGAAAGAAAGAAGAGATGAAAGTGAGACAATGATAAAACATCTTCTGTCTGCTTCACCACCTGCAATGAGATGTAAAAATAAAAGCACAACCAACGGATATAGTATAAGAGATACAATAAAGTGGCACCTTATTACAATCGCTGAAGTATAAGTAGTATTATTTAATCTGACATGTACTCTGTAGTAGCTGAAGATAAGAATGTGCTTCCTGTATGATAGTGAATCTCTAAATAACCTGGAGCCAAGCACCTGTAGTTGTTTGTGAAAGTGCACTTGTGCACGTAAAGTTATCCAAAGGAAAAATGCTCAATAGTGGAGCAAAGACGTGATCCCCCACCCCACCCCCACCCCGAGCTCTGCTCGCAAAGCATTCTGGGATATATCTGCCTCTTCTGAGGCCTTTCTTTACTTCTCATACACTTGGTAGACACTTTGTCTCTTACGATTCTCGGCCATTTTCAAAGAGCCACGGTGAGAAAGGTGAGCTTCAATGACTGTCTGAAACCATAGCTCACCACAGATATTCACCTGAAAGTGTGCATGCACAGAAAAAGGTAGCTAACAGATCGAGCACGCAGGATGGCCTTACCTAAACATATCACAAGAATGACTCACAATTAGGAGGACCACTTATTGAGATGATCCACCAGGAAATAAAAGATCATCCTCTTTACCTTTAAGAGCAGAAGGTGTTTTTTTTTTTTATTAACAAACATTACTTTATGTCACATGATGAAAATAACCAAATATAGAGCTGCCTGTGATCATGGATCTTGGCCTAAAGTTAACTTATGGTTTCTTGCAAAAGTGGAAAGTTAAAGGAAGTAATCCTAGCAAGGAACAATTTTAATGAAAGTATCCTATAATTCTTGAGTTCATTTGAAAGACCGTCCTTATAGTAGACTCAAGAATTTTACATTATTTTGCATAATACATAGAATGTTCATACATATTGTGTTACATCAATGAAATATTACTAAATAATTCTGGAACCAGTTACTTCAGGTATGGTGAATGGTAAGGAATTGTGTCACATCATAGAGGGGCTTGAATCATTTTTTTAGTGCACCAATCAGTGATCAGGTTCCTCTTTGGAAAGGTTGAACAAAGTCTAAAATCTCTCGCAGCCAAAACAAATTATTGCAACATTATTGCTAAAAAAAAAATAAAATAGTTGCTGTCACTGTGCAGATTAGACGCTAAAAGAGCATCTTCATCTCAACTTTGTGCAGAAATGATTGCACTCTGCCTCACATCACTGCTTGTTGAGAATAGAAAGTTAGTGTGTTGTTTAATTGGCAGGTGTGGTTTGAAATAGGTGCTTCCTGGGGGGGTCGGATAATGGCAGCTCTATGTAGACCAGTAATGTCTACTTGTTTTCTGAAGACTGGAAGGGGCTGCAGCTGAGAGAGCAGAATTCAGGAGGATTACTCAGATATGCATGAATCAAGAGCAATTTGATCCAAAAAAGCCCTTTTGTCCCCATTTTAAGTGAATTATGTCGATACATACTATAAGTCACAAGATCGAAATAATACATCTTTCAATTGAGTTTCCAAAAATAGCTAA